AATAGTAAAAAGCCACAAGTTTGTCATCAAGTGTGTGCATAAAATAAGCTATAGTTTAATGGCCTGTAACAAACGAAAATAACTTCGATTCAATTTAATATATAACTTTGAGAATAATGATAATATTAATATGGTGACATGCATAGACTTTACAATTGTACTAGAAATAAACCAAAAACACTGTAACTTTTCCTTGTCCTAGAAGCACCACATGGACTGTAGATATAACGGCAATGCGTAGACCTAATAAAAATTGTCTGGGGAGCCCATATATTTTCAGGTTGGTTTTGAATTCAAAATTGATTTTGTCCTAGTCTTGTTGTTATCCAAGATTAGGGATCCCAGTTTTCGCCGCGATTTAACCTAGAGCTGCTATAAGAAATGCATTTTGCAAGAGCATTAACACAAATAAGAGCACAAAAGACGTACCCGGATTCCAACTGCACGTTGATTCAGTTACCCTACCCGCACATGCGGTTTAATTTAATGGTCCGTAAAAAACGTAAATAATATCGATATACTCAAATACGATTAAGACAAAAAAAAACTTAAATTCTTATCTGGGATCAGCATCTTTCAGTATATTGACATGGTGTCATCTTTAATTTGTCGCTGAATTTGTTATAGAAAATATAGAATATTATATATTGTTATATAAAATGAAGTTCTTATGCGATCAGCTTTCGTAATTTCGATTTTATAGCCACTGTTTAGAAAGAAAGTTTATCGTAAATGTTCGCCTCATCATCAGGACCAAATCTCTGGAAATAGATTTTCCTTTAGGTTTTTATCTGCAAAATGAATCTAACCCGGTAAAATCAATTTTGTCAGTCCCGGCGTTCACAGTTGCAGCCGCTATATATTCAGAACGAATATTATCATTTGGAACGTTATTCTCAGTGACCAGGAATGGTTTCAGAATACAAATTGGCTTCTTATTGATTATCGAGGTGTAAACAAATGTTACTTAGCGTTTCTGAAATGAGAAAAGTAAATATTACATTTGGGTCGAAATAATTATTAGCGTTTCTCTTATATCCGCACAAGAAAACGATATTAACTTACTTTATTAGCTTACTTTATTCTTTTAGAACATGACTCTTCACAATTTCCTTTTTTGTTGTTGTTGTTGTTTTTGAAGTAACTCTCGTGGATTTCCCCGGATATTACACTTTGTGTTCTGTATAGGTTATTCACTGCTGCCTCTTTCTTCTCTTGTTTTCAGTACGCCCTGTGAGTGTTACATTTGCCATACATTCTTTCATCACTATGGGCTCCAAAAGGTTTCTTTCTGATTGCTAACTGTATATTATTATGATTTCTTATTCGATCAAAATTTCCTAATTCTTCACGTACTCTGCCTATTCTCATCGTTCTTTGCTGTAACATAATCTTTGATATTTCAAAGTCTCTCGTAGACGATAAAGATGTGGAAAATTGTCAATGTTATATATTGCATAGCACTATCTCATTTATCTCTTTGTTCCAAAGGCCATGTTCCGATCTATTCATATCTTTTGATATGTCTACCTTCCGCCTGATCTCTGTGTCACTTCCGGTCCCTGGTTGATATCAACTTCTTGATATCAAACCCGTATATTCGACTGCTACTTTTGCTTACAGCCATGCATTTTGATTTCTTAAGCATAATAGATAGCCCATTCTTCATGCTCTCTTCGACTATATTATCTAATAGTTCTTTAAGGTTTCTTTTTGAATATGCCATCCGCCCAGATTTATCAGCATAATAGTGTTAAGACTATATCTTCATAATAATTTTTTTTATGTCATCTAGTCCTCTTAAAAGGACGTGATACATACATCTGGTGAGCTCCCTTTTTTGTGTATTCACCAAACACGTCCTCTATCCATAGGCAAGTTTTCCTTCACAAATAAGTGTACGAATTATTTGAATACCTAAATCATGTTTTTCCAATAGCGGCAGTAGCTCTTCGCGTCATAGCCTATCAAATACCTGTGTAAAATCTAATGAGCATATATTATATGTTTCTGTATTTGGTGTCCTACACTATCAAATACCTTTATGAAATATAATGAGCACATTATTTACATAATTAAGGCGGTGGAGAACTTGGAGGGGAAATTAACAGGAGGTAACTGATAACTGACATCCATTAAACATGGTACGTGAAACTAGAACAGTCTACCTCAGTGAGTGAAATAAAGGGTTCAGTTTGACATTCCAACCACCCGAAGAAGGCCGGAGCGTACAACGGCCGAAACGTTGTAATAAATATGGCGACAAAGATGCGGACAATCCATTACTTCACCGTTCCTCCACTAAAAAACAAAAACAAAACACTTGTAAACACTAACAAGACACGTTAACAAAATGTAAGTATTGTTCAACAAAGTGAAGTACTGATTTTGTATTCAAGCCTAGAATTTGTCAGAGAAGAAAATGTGTTGGAAATATTCTAGGAGAATCCTGGTATGATTTTGAATTCAAGAAACAAGACACTACGAAAATGACAAACAAGGATCAACTGACAACGCAGAGTCGAAGGAAATCTCAGTTCAGTGAACAAGAGATGGAATGACATAAGATTGCTGCCTGGTGTCAAATTGAAGTGGAAACCATGGAAACCTTCAGATGGAAGCGTTATGTTAACTAATTCAAAACCCGCATTTTCATTTCCATAAGTTTTGTAATCTCGGACTTAAATTTTACGTGAGCTGTAAGTTTTTCGTTTTTAAAGAAACAAATATTACAAACAAAAACGATGGTATTTTTATACCAAAGACCAGACTAGAGATCCAGTTGGAAAGCAGCAAAGACCATTTATATAGACTAACCCCCAAAGAGAACACCAAAAGAATAAGGCTCAAAATTAAGGACATATATTCCTTTCAACCAAACCTTAAAAAAAAACTATTTCTGAAAGCTTTAATTCATGAGATGAATATAGAAAAAACGGTTAGCTGCAATATCTTTACAAATTGGTTATATTCCAGAAAAAATCTATATGGAAAAATGGAACTTAGTTTTATATTTTTACTACATATTTATCATAGATAAGAGGCACTCAGTGTATGAATGTATGAGGTGGAGGTAAGAGCAAATAATGAGAATATGTAGCGTGTCTGTAAGTGGTTTTATCGGTTATAAACAGAGAAAAGCATATCAACAACACGAATTTTACTTGATAAAATTCGTGTTGTTAATTATGTTAATCATTCGCGCAAACAAAATACATGAATCCATTTGCGCTTGTATTCTGTTCTATTCACAGGATATGTTGAAAATTCGATGAAGGGTTGAAGATGCATAAGAACTGGATAAGCAATCTCCCATTTAGGATGAGTCATAAATAATTTGAATATATCTTAGTAGGCGGTGGTGTAATGGATACCGGCTTGGATTGAGGAATCGGAGAGCCGAGTTCGAATTTCACTCGAATCCATTACATTCACTTATGGGCTAATACCCTTGGGAAATGTGTGCATCCTCTTCTTCTCCCTCCAGCTATGGGTAAACAGACTGGGTTCTATAGCCTTGGATGGCAACTGGTCTAGGAGAAAGGTAACATTGAATTCAAAACCTGTCGTTAGGTAGTGCACAAAGTCTCTGTATTCAGCCCTTCAAAAAGTGTGGATGGTCCTGCACGAAACTTTCACCTCTATAATCAAATCTCATTTGCTGGTGTCGGGCTGTCAGTTTCCTAGGATCTGATCTGCTTGACCCTCATATGCTGAATTTGACGGGAGAATTATGTTAAGGAAACAAATAAAAAAACAGTTATGTTAAAAAAAAAACAATCAGAATACGATCTTTCCTCGGTGAAAGAACTAGAGATGACTAATGAGTGCTGTGCAAAATTTAGAGTTGTTTATGTTCTACACTTTGTTCTCACTTGCGTATCCTTTCTTTGTTGTAGCGACACATTTTTATTTATTTCGCGACCCACTGAAGTGCCGGGACCCACTGTTTGAAAAACCCTGAGCTAGAGCAAAGTTAGTTGAATATAGTGGGCGGGTAGAACCGAAGAATCGAGTTGCATGAAACCTTTTTTGACATGCAGAACAAGTTTTCCTTTTAAAAAGTACAAGGAGCTTTTCGACTAAACGGTTATGGGCAAGCGACAGCTGCTGGACGGGAATTTCATGTTTTATCGTGTTTAATAATACCCCATCGATCCCAGCAAAGGCACTTTGAACTCAGCTTTTCTCAATATCCCGCCTTTAGTTATATCCTTTGTTATTTGTACTCCAAATTTATTCTTAACTGTCGCTTATTATTAGTAGTTAGGATGATATATTTCCTCATTACAATTGGCTCCAGTGACTCAACCTAACATTGTAATTCACACCTTCGATAGGCCAATTTTCAGATTCAATGTGAAGAATATTTCTACACAGAGGTTTAGATGCGCCATACAAATCTGAGTTTAACTATAGGGTGCGATGGATAAACTGTTTTCTAAATGACGCCTAAAATGAAAGTAACACTGACGCCTCATTAAAAATATCTTGAAATACTAAAGAGTATATTTATTCAATAAAATCAGCACTGGCTTCAACCACGGCCTCCAGACGACTTCAGAATCTCTTGCAACTCTTCTGGTTTAAGTTGATGAATAGTGTCGTAATTCTTGCCTTCGTTTCATCTTTGGTGCTACAAGGAGTTTTCTTTTTCACTCGCCCAAATGCGCCCTACACATAATATTCACGAGGGGAGCCTGGAGAGTTAGCTGGCCAGATGTAAGGGGTGATGTGGTTGCAGAAATTGTCTGACAGCCCTGACTGGGTTCTTCTGTTTATGTGACGTGGTACAGAGTCCTGTTGCCAGACATAGGGTTTCCAGCAGCCGGCCTCCTGACCCAGGGTAGCACTACCTATTCAAGGCACTTGATGTAGGCCTCCGTGTTGAATCCGAGGCCCTTTGAATGAATATACACATACATACATACGTACATATATATATATATATATATATATATATATATATATATATATATATATATATATATATATATGACGATAGATAGATAGATAGATAGATAGATAGATAGATAGATAGATAGATAGATAAAAAATGGGGTGAACGACTGTGCTTGTAGTATCTTATATAAGTTTACATAACCATGGCCTTTCAACAATATCTTTCAAAAAATGAAGAGTTGTTATAAATTTCGTAAAGTCGATCGAAATAAATCACACCGAAGCTGAAAAAAATTAAATTTGAAAGTGAAATAACTAACAATTCGCTCTTCACTAGCACCGCGTCCTGGTCTGTCTCTCTGTTCAAATTCCCGAATATAGCCGAGAGGCATTTCACCCTGTTTTAGAACCCGCTTGAGAGACGATATCCTAACGCCATATTTTATTTATTCAAGGATGCTGAAATTAGGCAAAATTCCGGCGGAAATAAAAATAAATTTGACATCCATAAATACAAACATTTTAGGCAAAAAGGACGTTCCTACTGTCAACTGATATATATATATATATATATATATATATATATATATATATATATTATCAAGTGATGGGGTTGAATGTAGCATAAAGGGTTTTAAAAGGTTGAAATCAAACATCCCCTGCTCTGGTGCTAGGGATATTTGATTGATTTGAACCTTTTAAAACCCTTTATTCTACATTTAACCCAATCACTTGATAAGACATCAGAGGTGTTCAAACAAAATGGCTATTTTTGTAGTCATTTTATGACATATTTATATTGTAATTTTCGAATAAAAATTATATTTGCTCTACTCTGCATTGGACACTGTTTTAAGAATAGTAATTGTTGGTTATAGGAATTTATTCCGTATACACCAATCATATACTTGGGTATATATATATATATATATATATATATATATATATATATATATATATATATATGTGTGTGTGTGTGTGTGTGTGTGTGTGTGTGTGTGTGTGTGTGTGTGTGGTCATCTAACTAATGTCTTACCATTTATTTTTCGATAACATCAGTTATGATCATGGTTTGGACCAGTACACACTGTGCGTTTGCTATTGAAACGTTTTTAAGACTGGTGAATCTGTAATTGCAACACAGAGATCTTTTCGTGCTCTTCTCATGATAGAAAATCGAAACTGCTATGGGTTGAGAATTTCAGAGACACAGACACTTAAAAGAAACCCACATGAAATACCTGAAAGCCCTCGAACTTCGGGGTGATGGAAAGCTTTAGAAATTGTCTACAAATGTGTATGGCAAATAGAGGCCAGCATTTATAAAACGAAATGGCTAAAAACTATAACTGTTTGTTTAAAAAACAGTGAAATACTTTTGTTTAAATAATAGTTACCTTGGTTTTTGTCAACCTTTAAAATGTGGGAGGTATTTTTGCCGCACTGTGTATAATGAGCCATAATGTATATCTGTTAGGCTTAAAGAAAAGGTTTAAAAATAACTTTCATTCAATCTAATGATTACACATAGAATGACGGAGAAAATACTAAAAGTTTTTTTCTTACAAAAATATTCACCCTATAAAATACCCAAGAGCCACTCGATGTAGAAGGTTACAGATTAAGAGGTAAGGAGCAAGGTTTATGAGGATATGTGGAAGAAGATAATAGTTAACTTCAGACTTGAACAGATTAAAATTATAGTAATTGAGGAAGCACCCTTTTGGATTTAGCGGCTCGTGAGACGAAGCTGCTCGCGTGGAACTGACATCTCACCAATGTAATAAGAAGGGAATGAGTGGTAGGGCGGGTCTTAGACGTTAAGGTTAGAACTGGTGTAATGTAGCTCGCCTGAACACTTTCCATGGAAATCGCGATAGAGTAGCAAGAAGCTTACACTGTTTCGTATGAGGGAAATGGGCTGGACAGTGGAAAATCATTCATTACCCTCAAGACCGCTTTAACGCATTTGGACTTTCTCGAGACTGAAGATTGAAGACTGGGCAATTCCTTCCCTTATATGCCAATAGTACACGATGTTGTGCCTTGTCGGAGTTAGCTCCGCCTTAATTCCCAAATTTTCACTAGGGGTCATTCTCCCTATACTATAAATACTGGGCGACCTCTTACCTCGCTCACTTTTTCCTTCAGGCCTCGTGCCTCGCGTGGAGGTGAGGTAATTCCTCTTTTTCATTTCTTCATTTCAGCGACTACAATGTAAGCTCTCTTAGAAAATAGCGTTTCCCACTTGTGGGAAGACGCCATGATACACACATACATGTACGTAAGAACATTCACCAAAATACAAACATTCACCAAAGAACAAACACCAGTGTTACACACACACAAATGTTATTGCCCATTGTAAAATTGTTTTGTTTAATACATATATTTGTTTATATATATATCGGTCTTGTTTTTGTCCTCTTTCATCTTCGACTGGACACAACTAGAGTCCGCTATTTTTCTTGTAGCTTGACCTTCTTCTAGCAAGAAATATAAACGCACGTGTTTTCTTTTCATCTTCACCCCAGTCCTCTACAGCCTGATTTTCCTGATTCTGTAAATTATACACAGAATTTCATTAGAAATTATTTTACCATAGGAATGCATTACAATTATTTACTAAAAAGATACGTCAAAACATTCATTCACTCTCATGATTACCTATAGTGTGATACAGTAAATGTTAAAATCATATCTAGAAAGTCATTGGGAATTATTTTACTAAAGGAATATATTAGAATTATTTATTACACAAATACATCCAAACTTTCATTCCTTTTCATGATTATAGACAGAGTGACACAGCAAATACTAAAATTATATATAGAAATTCATTGGAATTTGTTTTGCTATAGAAATGCATTAGAACTATTTATTAAGCAAATATGTCAAATCTTTCATCCCCTCTAATGATTACATATAGATAAAGCAAATACTAAAAGTATATATGGAACAACTTTGGAAATTATTTTACTATAAGTATGCATTAGAATTATTTATTAAACATATACGCCCGAACATTCATTTACTGAAACGGTTAAAGGAGGCACGGTGGAGTAATGGATAGCGGCTTGGATTGAGGAAACGGAGAGCCTAGTTCGAATTCCAGTCGAATCCATTACATTCACTTACGTGCTAACACCCTTGGGAAAGGTGTGAATCCTCTTTCTTCTCCCTCCAGCTATGGGTAAAGGACAGACTGGGTTCTATAGCCTTGGATGGCAACTGGTCTAGGAAAAGGAAAACTCTGAATTCAAACCTGCTCTTAGAGGAGGGTGAATGGAGTCTCTCTGAGCCTTGGTTGGCAATCCATTTTGTGTTGGAGTCACGATAAAAACACCCTTGATAGCCCTAGCGAAGCATCAAGAATTCAGCTATTTGACAAGATTATGAACTACACCAATCAAAGTATAAACTATGACAGATAAGGAATACTGGAAATGTGTAGTGAATTCAATCTCGGCTGAGGCCGCAAGATGATGAAAGGCGTACATTCGTTGGAAATGATTTTTCTATGGAAATGTATTACAAGTATTTATTAAATAAATACAGCAAAACTTTCATTCACTGGTATGATTGCATGTCTCATAATTAGTAGAAAAAAGAACGAATAATCGCGACTGCATTTTAGTTCTGACAGCATTTGAACCCAGTTTTATGAAGCAAGGCTTCGCATTTAACCATCAATACCCATTTAACCTGACAGTGACTTCATAGATACCATTTACTGTAAATATTACTGACCGTATGGAAGATTTTTTTTCTTTTTAATTAAGTATTTATTTCCGTAATGTTTGAATAAAATTTGTTTTAGCAAGATTAACTTCTATGGTACCCTTCCAATATCTAGATAAAATTATTCTAATAATGCGTGACTGGCGTCGAAAACTAACTTCTCACCTGATTTTGTAGGTCGACCAATGATTTTCAATCTCATTATCTCTAGTGTCTTCTGGAGCCTGGATTGGTTAACTGGCGATTATTGAAGCATGTAATCAATAACATTCAAACCGGGGTTATCTGCGCGTCATTCGATAAACGGCAAACCTGGATCTGTGTATTATGTTTACCAAAATCAAATGCCGTCTGGATGAGTGTTAATTATATCACAATACATATTCGGAAAAGATCTTCAGAGTGATATATATATATATATATATATATATATATATATATATATATATATATATATATGTAGGAACATTGAAGTCAACGCTATACTAAACACAATCGTCGGAAAACGACGATTGAGTTTAACATAAACAATCTGTCGCACCTGAGTGTTGACTTCAATACTCACTTTTATATTTACATACGCTCTATCTCTGATATCAGGCACTTTATCACACAAATATAGCATACCTTAAAACTAGATTTCTTCATTTATATATATATATATATATATATATATATATATAGATAGATAGATAGATAGATAGATAGATAGATAGATAGATAGATGAAACGATGTTGCCCTACTTTGAAACAGTTGATAAGGGTGTTTTGTGATTAATGCGCAAATTGTAACGAGTGAATGGGTCGTGAATATATATATATATATAGTATGAGGCAAAAAAAGATACACACCCATAGAAAGTTGATTTTTGTATTTTTACCAAAACAAATGTGTAATAGAATTCGTTTATTAATACAGTTTTACATATTTACATTATACAAGTCAAAAATGATTTCGTATTTTGTTGGCATGCTATGGACTAAATTCTTTAGAAAGATTCGACAGATTTTTCCATCATTTCGTTCATTCACGAAAAAGCCCAGCTTCTGTGTTAAGCTTCCTATTACGGGTACGCTTATCCATTCTCGCCTAAAGGTTTTCAATTGGGTTATGGTCAGAACTCTGACAATGCACTGTAGTTAAGATTGTTATAATATTTCTTGCAGGCGTACAAGAGATTAGGGGGGGGGCATAGAGAGTGCAAGAACTGTCCAAATGATTTTTGCATCTGAGACTTTCGGCTGATTATTATCAAATAGTCTTAATCTGTAGATTTTTTATAGTATTAGAAATGTTTTTATTCCCGAACACAGTCAGTACATTGTGGCTGTGTTCATACTTAATATTATTAAGAATTGATCTCTTGTTTTTTTTTATTCAGGCTAACATTATTTTTAATCGCCTTCTGCAGTCAGATTAATGTACGATCTTGTTTTCTACGAGTTTGTTTTGGGTAGAAATTGGTAAGTCTCCGTGTGCAGTTAAGTTGGCCCTACCTAAGGGAACTATGATCTGACGATGCCGGTCCAACCTCGAAACATCACAAAGAAAAAAAATCATTATTGTCTTATATATATAAGAAATGTTCTTTATTTTTTCTTTGTTACGAATTTTTTTACTATATATTTCCTAAAACCGGACTTTTCCTAGTTTCTGTGTGAAAATTTCCAAATAAAATTTCCAATGATTATATTTCAGATTTCATAAGTCATTATGAAAGCGTTTTTTTTCGTCTATGCCAGTTACTTCGATTTTCAAACATGGGTTTTCGTGTGACGCGTTTCGCCCTTTAGGACTTCATCGGACAAAATACATATTTACGTTGATGCGAATACGCATGCGCACAAAGGAAAGATGGCGCTTAAAACTTTGAGGAAGAACTTAGATAAATGTTTATTTGAACACAAAATGATCTTACACGAAACAACACATTAAAGGCATTAGTTGCCCATCATCACAAGACTGGACACAATTTAAAAATGCTATTGCAATTAAATGACAAAACAATTTACTAAGACGAAATTATTAGAATTGCTTTAATCTGTAGATCATCCAAAGCACATTTGCCTGCAGATTCTTGTAATGTTTCAGCATTCTTAGTCGATCTATTATTATCACAATGTGGAATATTTAAGTTATAGAAACAAAAATAAAATGAAAAAGAATCAAAATTAAATCAGTTAGAGTATCTACCCGAAATATTTTAAAAACAATTTAAACTTAAAATTCTCAGATAGATAGATAGATAGATAGATAGATAGATAGATAGATAGATATGAATAATATTAGATAGATAGATAGATAGATAGATAGATAGATAGATAGATAGATAGATAATGAATAATATCATATTTGACAGATAGATAGATAGATAGATAGATAGATATGAATGGAATGAGATAGATAGATAGATAGATAGATAGATAGATGAATAGATAGATAATGAATAATATCATATTTGACAGATAGATAGATATGAATATTATTAGATAGATAGATAGATAGATAGATAGATAGATATGAATAATATACTATTTGATAGATAGATAGATAGATAGATAGATAGATAGATAGATAGATAGATAGATATGAATGAAATATTAGCTAGCTAGATAGCTATATAGTTAATGAACATACAGCGGTAAATACATTCGAAAGTTTATGTTGCAGCAGTTCAGAAAATCCGAAAGTGAGGCCCACGCTCTTTCTCTGAAAATCGGTTTTCAAATGCTTTTTTATTGAGAACCAGTCCTTAACATTGAAATCTCATCTTCCTATAACCTTCTTTTTATTGATATCTTACACCTCATTCGATAATACTATTTTTTCAGTAATTATCAATCAGGAGTGGCTTTTGAGTCCTGTATTTGTTGAATTCTAGTTTAATAAAATACTCCTCACAATGCATTTATATTTTGACGATGAAGAGTAAAGGATTTTCTTTTCCTCTAATTTTCGGGAAAGCTTCTATTCAAAATCGATGGTGTTTCATCCGTTTTATTTTTTATCAACAGCTGTGTCGAATGTCACTGTCCATGCAATCTGTCACCTAACCTGCATTAAAAAAGGGACAAATAGTTGTTCAGCATATAAGAATAGTTAATTCTCTTTTTATGTCTTCGATTGCAAAATGTGCAATGCATCATTCATCTCAAAATGATCTTGCACAAAATAACACATTAAATGCATTAGTTGCTCATCATCACAAGACTGGCCACAATTTAAAATGCTATTGCAATTAAAAGACAAAACAATTTATTAAGAAGAAAATGTTTACAAATTGCTTTAATCTCTGATCATCCACAACAAATTTGCCTCCAGATTCTTGTAATATTTCAGCATTCTTAAGAGATCTTCTATTATGACAATATAATGGTATTTTAGTTGTAAAATCATAAACAAAATGAAAAAGAATTTAAATAAATCGGTTAGAGTATCTACCCGAAATATAATAAAGCAATTTAAATTTAAATTTCTCAGATAGATAGATAGATAGATAGATAGATAGATAGATAGATAGATAGATATGAATAATATTAGATAGATAGATAGATAGATAGATAGATAGATAGATAGATAGATAGATAGATATGAATAATATCATATTTGACAGATAGATAGATAGATAGATATGAATAATATTAGATAGATAGATAGATAGATAGATAGATAGATAGATAGATAGATAGATAGATAGATAGATAGATATGAATAATATCATATTCGACAGATAGATAGATAGATAGATAGATAGATAGATAGATAGATAGATGGATGGATAGCTGTATCGAGTGTCACTGTCAATGCAATCTGACACCTAACCTGCACTAAAAAGGGACAACTAGTTGTTCAGCATATAAGAATAGTTAATTCTCTTTTTATGTCTTCGCTTGCACTATGTGGCAATGCATCATTGATTTTCTCAGAGTCGGAAGAATATAGAGATTTATAACAGCCTGACCAACTTGGCAATTGGTTATATATTGACTAATTTCATTGATAATGACCGACCCCTTTGTTCGTGATTTTTTCTTCATTTCATTGGAATATCTTAAAGAATTTACTTACATTTTACACGGTCCTATTCTGTCAATAAATGTTTACATTAATCTCTAACAGCTGACAATCTCTTTCCTCGTTATGTTAAATGTTTTTCTACCATAAAATTATTAGTCATATATTTTCGGCTAAGTCCTGAAAACTAATAGGCCTGATGAATTTCCTTAAATCTATATCTTTATTTTCAGTCATTAAAGTTGGTATGTGGGGTGTGGTAGGTACCTTTTCAGTACCCCTTTCAATCCTATTCTGTTAATATGTACATTAATTCTCCGCCATTATCAGTCGCTTTCATTATGATTTTCAATGCATTTCTATACTAAAATCATTATATATCGCCTTGTCAGATATTTTCGTTCGTTTTGCTCATTTATTTTTATTCTATTATTCTTACAACTTTTTTTAAAATCTGTTAATAATTTATTCTTAGCCATTGTTTACAAATTCTTGCCAATGTTCCGACAGCTTGTCTATACCTTACAAATCACCGGGACTTGATTCGTCTATTATTATTATTATTATTATTATTATTATTATTATTTCTTTTGGTGGTTTTTCTGCTGTATACACATTTCTTTCCGGGTCCCGACCAAAAACCTAAGGTCAGAAATGGCATCAGGACATTTTCCAGTGAGCAGATTTGGAACAAACATCGGACATATTTTACACAAATAAAGCTCTTCGTAAGGTGTGGGCTGTATTTGTGACTACATTGTTTTTTATTTCTTTAAAGCATGAACTTCCAGGGATCCCTTTAATGTGTCTCTTGGAATCTTTTCCAATCAGTTCTAAGGTGCAAACTACAAGTGGAATTCTTAATGTCCTCATGCGCCATATTTTTTTGGAGATTTCGATTTCAAGGTCCATGTATTTTGATAGTATTTTGAAGATCTTCAAAGATACATTGCAGTCTGCAGGGACTTTCATGTTAATAAAGAGACATATTTTAACATTGCAGACTAGCTTTAATTGTTCTGTCTGTGTATATTGTAAGGTCTAATAAAATTATAACAGATCCTTTCTCCGTAACTAGACCTGGGTGATGTTCATACTAATTTCTTGCAGCTTACTTTCCGTAAGTGTTGTAGATTTTCCACTGCAGATATTGGTCCACTCTGGCGTACCATGTTTTATATTGTGTTATTATTATTATGACTTTTATTTTCTTTGATTTCTGGCGTTTACACATTTCTTTCCGGGTCACGCCCAGGGACCTAAGGTTAGAAATGGCATCATGACACTTTCCACTGAGAAAAAAAAAATTACATAAAGTAAAGTGTGGGCAGTACTTGTCAGAACACTTTTTTTTTGTATCTCTTTGAGGCATGGACTTCCAGGAATCCCTTCAATTAATCTACTGGAGTTTTTCCAACTAATCCTAGGGCTCCAACTAAACAGGGATTATTGATATTCCCATGTGCCACATTTTTGAGATTTCTATTTCAAGGTCATTATTATTATTATTATTATTATTATTATTATTATTATTTCCTTTGATCTCTGATGTGTAGTCATTTGTTTCCGGGTCCCGTCCAGGGACCTAAGATTAGAAATGGCATCATGACGTTTTACATAAGGTGTGGGCTGCACCCGTGAGAACAATTGTTTTGTATTTCTTTAAGGCATGGGCTTCCAGGGATCCCTTCAATTAGTCTATTGGAATCTTTTCCAACCAATGCGAGGGCTCCAACTACATCGGGGATTGTTGATGTTCCCATGTGCCACATTTTTTTTTGAGATTATTATTATTATTATTATTATTTGTGTCGTGTCCCTACAGGACATGGGAGATCATGGATTTCCAGAACTTTCTATCCCTCGAGGGCTTCAACAATGTTCTCCACTCCCCCGTTCTGCCACCCATTCACGCAAACACTATCAAGGGGTTAGCTCGCCTCCTTCCTCTATCTCTCTTGCCCTCAATATGCTCTCCTTCTTCATTATGTGTCCAAGGAATTTCAGCAAGCTCTCTCTGATTCGGAAAAAAAAATAAAAGGTGTTCTTTTAATTGATATTTTCTTTAAATCTTCCCTGTTGCTTCCTCGTTCCGTCGATGGAAATCTCTGTATCCTTCCGTGGGACCACATCACTGCTTCCTCCAGTTTTCGTTTATTGGGAGATTGTCCAGAAAATGTGTATCACATAACAATCCTTCACTCTTTATTTGTTTCTGGTGATTTTTTTTTCTTTTTCTCAGCACTTTATTGAACTTTTGAAATGTCTCTTCCGCTAATCTAACCCATGTTTGGATATCGATGTTACATCCTCAGCTGTTAAGATACTTCAAAAATATTTAAATTTCTGTATTTGCTTGAAGTTGTAACTTTATTTTTCTTTTGCTGACGACCAAATTTTGTTTTCTTACAATTGATAGTCTTTTTGTCTCGCTTTCTTTTACTATTCAATCTAGCATGTTTCGTAGTTTTCTTTTAGCGTCAACTATCAACAAAATGTCGCCTGCGTATCTGATATTGTTAAGATTATGCCTACCGACAATAAATCTTTGTCTGGTTACGAGCATTCCTAGGATAGCCTTGCTCTAGAATTTGAATAAATCTGACGAGAAGAGACGTCCTTGTCTTACGTCATCTTTTATTTTTTGATAGCTACTGAATGAATTTTCTATCTGTCTTCATTCGGTTTGCTCAAAGTATAGGTTATGCGTTATTCTAAAATACTTTCCGAATAGATCTAATCTTACTAGCATTTTAAATAGATGCTTGTTACGTACCTTGTCAAATGCTTTCGCGTAATCTATAAAACATAAGTGCACATCCTTCTGTTTTTATATTACTGACTCTCTCACTCTCTCTCTCTTTGTCTCTCTCTCTCTCTCTTTCTCTCTATCTATATATATATATATATATATATATATATATATATATATATATATATATCTTACAGATCCTAATCATGGACATCGTATTTCTTATTCCAGTGTGGTTGCAGTCTAATTCTACTTCACTCTCGGCTTTAACGTCATGGGTCTTATTAACTTGATTGTCCAATGGAGCTTCCATTCATCTGCACCTGTTTTTAGGTAATGCTACAAAGATGGATTTTGTGAGGTCCTCCAGTATGTGACGACTATTGTATATATCGTTTATGACTTTTGTGATCTTGTCGGTGGCGAAAACGTCCAAGGCTAAGAACATTTCTGTGACAATCTCATCTGACGCTGTTGTTTTCCTGTGTTTATATTCTCTAGTGCTGATCTTACTTTAGATTTGAGTCAGACGCTCACTTTCTGAGAGACTGTTCGGTTGAACTCTCTTCCTACAGACGGGAGGA